CCTCTTTGTGCTACACACGTGTCACGGGAGTTTCTCTTGACGAACGGGGCATTCCTTACAACGTGGACTCCTTTTGAAAGAGTACTAGACTGATTTTTCAAAGTCCTACACTATACAGAAGGTGAATTTAAACCATAGTGCTGTTCTATTGCTTTGGGGTACATTATAGGCCTTCTGCTATTCCTGCCAAGGTGTTCTGTGCAGCTGCATTTTTACTGTTTTATTATTTTGGCAAGTGGGCATCATTATTTGATGTGAGCCAGGCATGACTGTGTGTTCCCCATGGACCTTCACAAGCTATTTCTGGGTGCTGCTGACCATAACATCAGAACTGGACATCATGGTCACTCCTTGGACTCCCTGATTGCTCATTGCCAACACACGTTGTAGCTCTAGCCAAAGAAAGTGCTGCTTCCTTCCATCCCTATGACTTGTCAGCGAGACTATTTCTGATCATGGGTTTAGTGCTCTTTCAGAAATAGCCCAAACGACAAGTCATAAACATGGTGTATCGCCCATGCAGCTGACAGGTGGCTAAAGATTATTCAAAGCACCACCTACACTCTCCCAATCTGACTCTCCCCCATACTAGTGAGAGAGATGGGTGGGTGCTTGAGTTGTGATGGGAGGGAAAACAAAATGGGGGAATTCACCAAACATTTTCCTCAACTCGCCCCTCATTAAATCAGTACGACAGTACCAGTCTTCTTTCTCAAACGAAATAGGAACTGGCAGTAAGGACAGTGCAATTTAGGTTGGCATGCTTTTCTGCTGATTGAAGGACTGGATTACTTTAACATTAAGCTTGTTTTGGGGGAAAAGAATCCTAGGCAACAGAAGAAAAGTGAGTGAAAGAAAAAAGAAAAGCATGTGTGTGGGGGAGAAATTAAGAGTTAATGATGAAGACGGAGCAGACTGCATGAAAATCTAACTAGCTATGCTCTAGAGTTCTCAGCTAATTTATAATACAACTCTTAGATATAACTCCCTCCCAAGGCTTCCAAATTTCTTTATATTTGCATAGCTCCTTGCAATCCTCTCTACCAGTCAGGCAGAAATGTCAGGACAGACTCAAATGGGAGGCCTTGCGCAGCTCAAAAGCACAATTTGATCAGGTGCTTTCCCATGGGGGCTGTAACCCATGTTTTGCAAGCTCAACCCAAGTTCAACCTACCTGCAAAGATTGGAAGATTTCTGTGAAGGGTTCTAGGCGAACCAGATAGGAAGCCACAATCATTGCGGAGGAATAGTGGGTACAGTAGTGACTCTGAGCTGAGAGGTTACCTACAAACAAGAAGAATCAGCTGTTTATAAACTCAATTTTTGGATAAAACCTTCAAAATCAAATAATCCCTGAAATCTGTAATAATGTGTCTTATCAAGTAAGTACTCACACATACCATTTATGGATATACCGTATTTATTGGCATATAATACGCACAGGTATATAACACGCACCTTAATTTTAAGAAGGAAGTTTGAGTAAAAAAACTTAAATTTAAAATAAATGTCTTGGAAGCAAAACAAAGGGAGCTCTGAACTTTTTGTTCATTAATATTTATACCACTTATAAGGTAAATACGTAATAAGAAAGAAAAAGCAGCACTTTTGTATGTTGTAGGCTAGCTGAGTGTAGTGTGTGTGTAACATTAGTGTTTGTTAGTGTGTGGTAATGGTAATCTGTTTA